CCCCCCCCCCCCCCCCCCCCCCGGGCCTTTCCGCATCAGCGACCACACCGCTCCCTGCCGTCGGTGCCCTCCTCTCGGAGCTGCCCGGCATAATTCAGGAGGCGGCTGACACAAAGGGACTTTCCGTCCCTTTCCTCCCAGATCGGATGATCTAGCGGGAAGGTTTGGCTCCACCCCGGCTTGCCGCCCTAACCCCATCTGGCCTCGTTTCCCAGCATTGACGTCCTACTGGAACGAGGCTGCAGCCGGACCTGTTAGACTGAGAGCGCCGGTTTCCACTTTTGCGCCCATCACCAGAGTGGAGGGGTTTACTGAGCAGAGTTTTCCCTCAGTGCCCCCCCTGGAACTAAGCCTGGCGGAGGCTCTCAGAGCAAAGATGTCCAGGTTGGACCAGCGTCCTGTGCCTCTGGGGAAGCGTGACCAGACGGTGACGTCGCTCTCCAACCAAGCTCACCAGTGTGTGTTCCAGGCGGCCGCAGTGAACAATAATGTTGCACTGCTGGCGTACAGCATTTCAAAGAGGTTGGAAGAAACAGATCTGCCTGAGAAGATGAAGAGCTCCCTTTGCAAGGCGTCTGACGTCATCCTGAACCTGTGCGCCTCTTCTGCTATTTGCCTGTCTCGCATCTCAGCCTGGATGACAATGGTTCAGCGATCCACCTGGCTCTGTCACTTCCCCTCCCTGCCGGAGAAGCTGCAGAAGGACTTGTTGGAGGGCCCCATCACGACAGACGCGCTGTTTGGAGCCAACTTCAAGGCCATGCTCGAGAACTCGAAAAAGTCGGAGGAGGTGTCGGAGACTGTGTGCCATCTGGGCAAGCCGCACTCTTTTTTTCAACCTTTATTTAGACAGGTAATCCCATTGAGCCTCGAGGACTCATTTACAAGAGAGACCTGATTTCAACAAAGAAAGATGACAACAATGGACAACAGCAACAACGATAAACAATTATAAAAAGTAATACTGCAGGTTGTTTTTTTTACAAATAGGATGGCTAAAAGAAAAAGGTAACAAAAAAACAACTAGATTCTAAGGCGAATGTAGAAAACTAAAAACAGGAACATGTCTGCGTTGGTCCCTGCCAAGAGTCCAACAGGTTCTTAAAGCCACTTAGAGAGGTCAAGGTCGAGAGCTTCAATTGTTTTTGTAAGATATTCCAGGAAACAGGAGTGGAGTAGGAGAAGGCCCTTTTGCCTAGTTCAGTCCTCATTGAGGGAACACTGCAGGTAATAATGTCCTGAGAGCGCATGCCGTAGCTGCACTCACACAGAGACATGTAGGAGGAGATGTATGAAGGCAGCAGACCAAGAAGTGATTTAAAGATGAAAATGTACTCGCTTCCCCGCCCACGTCGCCCTAGAGAGAGCGACGTGGCCAAAGACAGCAGCAAAGACGCGCCACAGCTGCAGCAGCGTCTTCTCGCTCCACTCCGCCACCGGCCCCTCCCGTCAGAGAACAGCCCTCCTCATCCCGGCATCCAGCGGTACAGCGTTTCCCCAGAGACCGCCAACAGGCGCCCCCCTGGAACAACCAACCGCGGGGGGGAAGATTAAAAAAATGACTCCTTGCGGAGGATGTGTGTGTGCAAAATGATGGTTCGAGTTTTGAAATAAAATGTAAACATCATTCAGGAATTAAAGTGTCTGATTTCAGCCTGTCTGTCAGATCGTATGATTTCACAAGGGCTTCTCATCACACATCCTCCACACAAAACGAGCCGGTGTCCTTCAAACAGGTTTTTGAAAGTCACCGCAGCTCAAAAAAACACAAAAGGCGCGTGTGACACAGCCAAAAGTGAATGTTTTCAACAGACCGAGTCCAGTGGGAAACCTCGCTCTCAACCTAAGCTGTGCGCCGCCTCCTCTGACCGCAGCGGCGACAAACATGCGCCCCCGCGGCAGCCTTCGCTGAAGCGGCACCGCGTGGCCATGGGCGCGCGTGCCTCCCCTCAGCGCATGCCAGCTCACATCAGCACATCAGATGTGAGCCCGCAGCCTGAGCGCGGCACAGAGGTGCCTTCAGGGCCCTTTCGAGAAAGCCTCACCTTGGGTCGCTCGGAGCACGCCTTCGCAGCACATGACGGCGGTAGAGGCTGTAAATTGGTTGACGTCCGTAAAACATATGACGCAGCACAGAAACGCGCGTCCTCTCCCCAAACATTACGCGGGGTGGCAGCGAGCGTTCGCTCTAGACAGATGGATGAACCGCCTTATCAGCAGGGGATACACGCTCAAACCCCCCCCCCACACACACACACACACACACACACACGATTCAGCACAATTAAAACGTACGCTGCAGCCATCACTTCTTGTCACGAATGTTTCGGGGACAGAACAGCTTTTAATCATTCGCTGATTAAGCGTTTTTTAAAAGGTGTACAGAGACGCAGGCCTGTTTCACGCCCACTTTCTCCACGGTGGGATTTAACGCTGGTTCTGCGAGCCCTGATCAAAGCTCCATTCGAGCCACTAGATCAGGTTCCAATTAAATTCCTGTCTCTTAAAACAGCCCTGCTGTTGGCTCTAACATCAGCTATGAGAGTGAGTGATTTTTCTGCCCTCTCTGTCGCTCCGTCATGTCTCAGAATTCAGGCTGATGGCAGCTCAGCTGATCTGAGGCTTAACCCAGCGTTTATGCCTAAAAACATCACAAGCTCTTTTAAATCAAGAGTGATATCGTTGGAGGGTTTTTTTCCCTCCTCCCCACAATTCAAAAGACGAAGCATCTTTCCATCTTCTCTGCCCTGTACGGGCGTTAACGTGTTACGTTGCGTGCACGGCGGCATTGCGTCAGACTCAACATTTGTTTGTGCACTATAGAGACGCATCTGCAGGTCGCCCGTTACCCACCCAGCGCCTGTCACACTGGCTGTGTGAGGTAATTTCTGAAGCCTACAGAGCTTCAGATTTAGAGCCTCCTGACAACCTAAGGGCGCACTCGACCAGAGGTATCGCATCTTCGACTGCTTTGCATAATGGTATTTCAATGCAGGGTATTTCAATGCAGGATATTTGCACTGCGGCCGCGTGGTCAACACCCTGTTCATTTATTCACTTTTATTTACGTGATGTGTCGGCTTGTTCTATGACGCATTCTGTCCTTAGTGCCTTAACAGAACGAATATTGTCGTTTCATTTAATCTCGTTTTAAACTCAGATCTGACTGCATGCATTTGCAGTGTGTGATGTTATCAGTCACAGGTTATGACTGTTGTTCTTGTTCTATGGTTATTAATCAGTTCATTTGATTAATAATCAGTTCATTTATTATTAATCTATTCATATTGAAGAGCCGTGGATCTGCTCTGTTCACGGCCTTTTTCAGCCTCTCCTCCTTTCCGTTGAAAACTTTTCCTGGGCGTTCATGCACTCGGAACGCGTAAATTACGCAGTCCGCATCTGTGCATGGGCGCGTAATTACGCAATGCGTATTTACGCACATGGAGAGCTGAGTGACGAGATGTTTTTTGGGCAAGCGGGCACTTCTTATGGTGTTCAAATGGACCCAGTGAGGCAGAGACTACATCTGCTTCGCCCTTAACCCACCAGCGACAGCCTTAAAGGGCAAAGCCTATACGAAATAGAACGTTGGTTACGTACTGTAACCCCAGATTCTATGAGTATAGGCGTAGCCCTTTAAGCGTCGGGCCTCACTGGCTCCTAAATGGCTGAAGAAAATGCTATTTGGGAGAATATTACCCGCTCTTAAAGTAATTTATATGGACCGGGTGGGGCCCACACAACAGGTGGGCGTGGACTAATTTTTTCAGTGCGATGCTTTGCATGACGGGATAAACCCACCAGCGGCAGCCTTAAAGGGCTATGCCTATACTCCTAGAATCTGGGGTTACAGTACGTAACCAACGTTTTCAGTGTTACCGCTGTTTTTTGTCCTGTACTACATGTTCCAGAGCTTCAAGAGAAAACCGGGCCAAGCCGATAATGAGCGCTCGACAGGTGACCATAACGAGCGTGTTAACAAGCGCCTGCGCACGGTGGATAACCGGGAGGAGCGCACAGGGAACAAGCAGAGTGAGACCCAGCTGGAGTCTGATCTGTACGAACACATCAGACAGCAGGACATGGCCTACGACACGCAGACCTACGGTCAGTAATCCTCTGATACAAACACATTTAAAGGTGCAGACCACTAACAAATAAAATCCATACGATATTACCATATTTTCCGCTGTATAAGTTGCAGTTTCTTGCATAATTTGCATGCCCTGTGACTTATAGGCCGAAGCAATATATTTATGGATTTTTTCCCATATTTATAAACCAATTTTTGGCTGAGATATGACGGTTTCATTCATTCTTACTGAAAATATTGAACACTGCCATATTCAGTCACTAGATGGCACTTGAATAGTAAGGCATGCCGTTGGATCATGTAATAGGTAAAAGTGGCTAATGACACAATTGGCTTGCCAGAGCCTGCCACTGTTGTCTGCCTGGAGTAATCGTATCAGTTTCATTTCGCTGCACCGCCCCGGCGAAATGAAACTGATTTGACCATCATAGTGCAAAAGTTAGACTGACACACCTTTACTATAATTTCGAGCAAACAAATAATTGTTTTTAAGTGTTAATCTTGTTTAATTCTTGTTAAAATCCTCCCGTGCACGCTCCCACGACCGCCATTTATCAGCCAATCGATTTTTGGCACACCACCGCCCCACATTTCCGGGTTCGGCACACATTTCCGGATTGACAGCGGTGACACGTAACAAATGCGACACGTCAGCAGTGACGCATAATAGATGCCACGTATATGGCGAAGCGACATATTTATGGATTTTTCCACCTTATTAGACAAATATGGATTGATGCAACTTATAGGGCTGAAAATACAGTATTCTCATATTGCTGGTGTCCTTAATCTCTATCTTGGTAATCAAAATTTGTGACCAGGTGTCAACTACTACTGGGACATGTTTTTCTTTACCTGTGAAAACAACTGAAGTGGCTAAAAAAGGTCAACAAAGGTGACATCATTCCAGATGGGGCAGTTTGACCTTACTTTCTCTTTTCTTTTGCATTTAGCTGCAGATTCACTTCTAAATTTCTCCCTATATGTTTTCTCTGAGATTTTACGCTATTCCGAATATTAATTTATTGTCCCCCTTCGTGGAGCTTAATTAAAATTAGTTGAAAAAACCCTTATCTGTCTGTCCATCTTGTGAGCATGATAACTTGGAAAATAGGCGAGGTACCAGCTTCCAATTTGGTGTGTGGCTGTATCTAGGTGTAAAAGGTCACTATTAAAAGTTGAGTTCTACCAAGTAGAAATCCAAGATGGCCACCACCATATATGTGTGCGTGCAAGTAAACCACCCACCCTATCATTTGAGGAAATTTTGCTTTCTAGTTTTATGGTGCCACATATAGTTTTTTCAAATAATTAGGGTGGACAAAGATTAATCTATGGTGGCCAAGGCCACCATTGGCCACCCCCTGGCTCCTCCATTGCACCTGATGGTGGGTAAAATTGTTTCCTCCACTCTCCATGATCTGTCACTTTGCCTCAGACGAGAAGAAATGAACAACATCCGTTTTTACTTGCAGTGTAACTCCTCCCCACTTGAATGCCCCAAAAACATTGTTTACTTACATCCCCTGTTCAATTCCAGTCCAGATAAACTCATCTCAAAAACTACAAACATTCACTTTTCAAATCCCTCATTGATGGGGGACATCACTTGTTGAAAAGTAATCTGATAAATTTATTGTCCGTGTTTGTTTACTTCCCCTGTGCAGCCATATATCTGGAAAAGTCTTTCAGGGTTCAGATGTTTAAAGTCTTCAGATCAGGACAGTGATCATCTTCAGAGTATTTAAAACAGTCTGTGTAAATCAGTGTGGTTTGCTTTCAGATGTTGCCAGTGCAGACCAACAAAAACCAGCAGGGACTCAACAAAACCAGAATGAAGATGAGGACGACGCCATGGAAACAGAGGAGCAGGAGAAGGAGCTGGAAGCTGCTGAAGTCGCGGAGTTGCAGCCTGATCAACTGGACTCTTCCAAGCACTCACAGAAAGGTGTCGACTTCTCTCCTCCGGAAAAGTTTATTATCCATGCTCAGAATAATGAGGTTTGAATGCAGAACTTGTTATAGCTGCTGCCACTAGCTCATTGTCACCATGGTAACCATACACCTATGTCTGTCACTCCCTGAGTTTAATGACACGGTCAGAAAAAGTCTCGACAGTCAGCCTCAAACAAACAGCTGTGATGGTCACACGTGTGGATATTTATGTTTCTGTAGGAGGTCTTTAGTTTTCTGCGACCTGTTTAAACTTTGATGTTTTTACTGCAAAGTATTTCTGAGCTGTAGATCTGGGTTTTTTTTCTTCTCCATCATCATTATTAATATTATTGTTATTATACCTGTCTTTATCGTTTTAAAGTTGTAGCACACCTTTACTAATTGAGCTGAATGTTTCAGTGTATAACTGACCTGTTTTATTTCTAAGCTGCACGAGGACGCACAGCTTGAATAGGACAGGAGTAATCACCTGTTTTGTTCTTTAAGTTTTACCTCATCTTTAACATCAACAGTATATAATATCTGTATAAAACATACTGAACAGTCCTCCTTGTTGTTCAGCTGTGGATAGTGGTGAAATGGAGATGAAGAGGCAGGCAGAGGAAGAGGAAGAAAAGCGACGTAAAGACCAACCACAGGCCAGAGAAGAAGAGCAGCGAGAGAGGAGCACAGAATCCACAGTTCATACAGCTCCTCAGCTGCTGCTGGACTCCATGCAGGTAACGACAGACCTCAGCCTCACACTGCTGCCCTGTTGGCCCCTGAGGTGGAATTAGAAATACACTCCGTCCATCTGTCTGTGTTGCGATCATGATAATACGAACAATAAGTGAGGTACCGACTTCCATTTTGGTGTGGCTGCATCTAAACATTAGAAAGGTTACCATTGAAAATTGGTCTCGATGATCCAGGTAGATGAATCCAACAAGATCGTCTCAAGCCCTCTGGACAGGTTCTTCTTTGTTGAAAACCAGTTGGTCCACTGTGAGAAGGTGCTGCTAATAAGACTCAGTTTGTTGCAGCTCCTCAGACTGAAGAAGTCTTGTGGATAAAAGACGAAACGTTTAAACAAGAAGAATCCATCCAGAGGACCTGACTCAACCTGCTTAGATCGAAAATTGAGTTGCCACATCAAAATTCAAGATGGCCACCAGGCATAAATATATATATATAATGTGTGGGGCTGGGGTGGGGTGGGGTGGCGAGTGGTGTTGTAGAGGTTAGTGAAAGTGGACCTGTGGTCGGAAGGTCACCGGTTCGACTCCCTGGACCGTCAACATCAAAATGTGTGTGGGAAAGGTGAAACACCCACACCTGCCTCCACCCTCATTTGCTCCACTCTGGGCCTTTGAGCAAGGCCCTTAACCCCCACCACCTGCTCCCCCGGGCACCCTAGGTGGCAGCTCTCTGCTCCACACAGAGGGGTGTGGTAGCTCGGTGGTCTGTGGAAGTGTCAGGAATTGCATCCAGCATAAACACAAATTGTCAAGTGATTATTTGAGTTAGTTCGCTGTGACCTCTGAACAAGGGAGCAGCTGAAAGAAGAAAAAAATATACCGTCTCTAAGCCGCACATACTAATATATAAGATAAATCATAATTTTGTACATAAATAAGACACTCTGATTATTTAGCCATCCACATTCATTGTCAGGAACTGTGCCCAACCTGCTCCGACATGATGTGCAGCTTGCTTGTAGTACCAGAATCAGCCACCAGATGGCATTTCATAGACTATAGCTTGTTTTCAACAGCATTGAGACTGCATGATTGTCACATGTCTTCATGAAGCTTCACTGTCTGACTCATGGTTACAGCCATTATACCTACAACATGAACACGAAAACTATCTAAGCATAATCACTGGACAGAACAGTGTCAGCACTTTGGTTGGCCTTGTCGCTGTTTTAAGTGCTCGATAAATAAAATGGTATGGTATGGTAAACACCTACCTAACCAAAATTATTAAAAAAATTCTATACCAGTAAATATTACCCAGAAGTCTTATCGAGGTCATGCGACCAAAAGTCAAATAGTACTGATAAAATATGGTAAATATTCATTGACTTAGGACCATTGATTTTTATTGTTAAACACTTTTGGTAACAGCTGCAGTTTTTAAATGTACTTTCTAAATAAATTTGACGTGACTTCTCCTCAGCAGAGCTCATATGAGGAGAAGGGGGGACAGCCCCTCCCCCTCCAGTTGGCTTTGCTCCGTGCGGAGCTTAAATGAGATACAGTACTGGTATTTAAACACATATTTACCATACACAGAAAGATTTTTAAAACTTTAAATATGTATCAATCTTGACTGACTGCTTTCAAAATAAATCTGGCAACTTCTCCGCTGAGCTCTCATGATGGAAGGGGAGGAGGGAAGAACCCCTGCTGAGATCCCGGTATTTAAACGCATATTTACCGTACACAGAAAGATGTCGCACAAAAATAATTTTCAAACTTTTATTAAAACATGTACCAGACTTGGCTGCTTTGCGTCTCCAATCCTGACCATCGACACATTGATGCAAAGCTTACGGGCTGCAGCTCAGTTTCCTTCTTCGACAGCTGATTGATCACTTTTAACATGAAAGCTGCATCGTAAGAAATTCTCCGTGCATTTTCCATTATCACTGAACAAATGAACAGGTCTGTGCATGAAGTGCAAAATACAATAAACACGAGAATGAGCTGAAGAAATGAATGCACGTCTACCTTGGGGGGTGGTCCTCGAGAGTGCCTCATTGGTCATTCAGGTTAGACTTCTGGTCACATGATGACGTGTGGGTGGAGTTATGGTAAGGTATTTGAAACCCTGAGCAAGAGCCGTGCATGTGGACATCTGAGGGCATTCACTTTGTGTCACAAATGCCTGCCCCAAGAGGGGCGGCGTGCTGGGAGCCACGAGCACCCAGTTCTCTCAAAGTAAAATGTTAGTCAGTGGCAGGAAGTCTGTCAAAATAAAATACAACTTGTGAAAATTATTAAAAAAAAAACATAAATAAGATGCTCCTGCATATAAACCGCAGAGTACAAAGTGTGAGACAAAAGTAGCAGCTTGTACACCAGCAATTACAGGGTGTGTGTGTGTGTGTGTGTGCGTGCGTGCGTGTAAACCAGCCTCCCCAATCATTTCAGGAAACTTTGCCATTTTTATATTGATTAAAACTATAGTTTCCTCAAATGATAGGGGTGGCCCAAAATGTAATCTGAACCCCAGTGAGAATCTTTGGGATGTGCTGGAGAAGATTTGCTCAGTGGTCCAAATCTCCCGTCATCAATACAAGGTCTTTGCAAAAATTTAAGCAACTCTGGACAGAAATGAATGTTGTGACATCGTTGAAGTTTGAGGAAACGATGCCACAGAGAATGTCTGCTGAAATCTAAGCTAAAGGCAGTCCAACAAAATATTTGAGCGTGACCTTCATAGGCCAGGCAGTGGATTAGATTAGATTAGATTAGATTAGATCAATGGATTGTTAGTTTCTGTTTGTAATGCAGTCCTGAATGTGTTGCGGTGCAGATTGAACCACAGTCACGTGTCTCCACAGAAGGCTGACAGGAACCCTGAAGAGCTGAGGAGGGAGATGGAGCTCCAGCTGGAGACCTGGAACAAACTGGCCCCAGGAACCCTGGAGGAGGTGAGTCACACTCCACAACTGTTTCAAACACCAGCTGCAGAACCAATGATGTGTAAAACATTCAGACACCTTCAGTTATACCTGTATTTGTCTGTCTGTTAGCAAAACATCTTGTGAACCAGTGGTTGGGTCTTAATGAAACCACTGGACATCCATCTGCATCGGATGAACTTGATTTACGACAAACACCACAGCTAATTAAATGAACAAACGTAAAAATAGCTGTCAGTTAATTTAGCAGATAAAGCCTGGTTGGTAGTAGCTGAGAGTCATCCTCAGCACACATCATGAGCACTAACAGAGCTCGCAGGATTCTTGTTTAAAACCTGGGCATGCAGGGCAGTGGGCAACGTGCATTCATTCATCAAATCTGCTTCCAACTCTTAGTTCTCTATTTTTGTTTTTATCATCTTAACCTTTATTAGGGTCCCCAAAAGGTGGACCACGGTCCAAATCCAGACCTAGATAAACCTGAGCCCAGATCAGTTGTTACATTTTTCATTAATATCAGTCATTTTACCTGTGCACAGCCTTCACAGCAGTTTAAAAATCCAACACAGACCCTCTAAAACCTGACGTGAGAACACAGAAGTTCTGGACAGGTCCACTCGCTGACTGACCCCTTCAGAACATGAACCTGCTCATGTGACATGAAAACTGCATTTAACTGCAGTGATTTACATGTGACACGTGAGGACCAAAGGAGAAACGAAACATTTGAGTGTTGCTGGTTCTGAGGGTTCTGTTTGTGTTCCAGGAGACGGCAGCGTCCTCCATGTGGCATCAGTACCAGGCTCTGACTTCAGCTCTGTCCCAGCAGCTCTGTGAGCAGCTCCGCCTCATCCTGGAGCCCACTCAGGCCACCAAACTGAAGTCAGTGTCAACACGACCTCCTGTCTGCTTTCATTACCTGCAGGGTGAAGTTCTGCGCAGACATAAATATTTGCTGTGGCTGTTTGTCTGCTTTTTAGAGGGGATTACCGCACAGGGAAGCGTCTGAACATGAGGAAGGTCATTCCTTACATCGCCAGTCAGTTCCGCAAAGACAAGATCTGGTTAAGGAGGACCAAGCCCAGCAAGAGGGAGTACCAAATCTGTCTGGCTGTGGACGACTCCTCCAGCATGGTGGACAACCACTCCAAACAGGTGAGACAGCTGTTGTCCTCAGGGACGCCATGAAGCTGGATGGGCAAAGAAGCCCATCTAAATAATCTTCTGAGATACCAAGTTAAGACATTTTTACAAATTCTAGTTGTCTTTATTAACTAGAATAATGATGAACTAATACAAGTGCTGGTCATAAAATATGAATATCATGAAAAAGTTGATTTATTTCAGTAATTCCATTCAAAAAGTGAAACGTGTATATTATATTCATTTATTACACACAGACTGATATATTTCAAATGTTTATTTCTTTTAATGTTGATTATAACTGACAATGAAAACCCCAAATTCAGTATCTCAGAAAATTAGAATATTGTGAAAAGGTTCAATATTGAAGACGCCTGGTGCCACACTCTAATCAGCTGATTAACTCAAAACACCTGCAAAGGCTCTTTTGTGACTGTCTGTTGTTATTGTTGTTGTTGTTGTTGTTGTTGTTGTTGTTGTTGTTGTTGTTGTTGTTGTTGTTGTTGTTGTTGTTGTTGTTGTTACTCACTGTTGTCATCACTCTTTGTTAAGAAATCAGGTCTCTCTTGTAAATGAGTCCCGAGGCTCAGTGGGATTAACCTGTCTAAATAAAGGTTGAATGAATGAAACAAAGGCCTTTAAATGGTCTCAGTCTAGTTCTGTAGGATACACAATCATGGGGAAGACTGCTGACTTGACAGATGTCCAAAAGACGACCATTGACACCTTGCACAAGGAGGACAAGACACAAAAGGTCATTGCTAAAGTGGCTGGCTGTTCACAGAGCTCTGTGTCCAAGCACATTAATGGAGATGCAAAGGGAAGGAAACAATGTGGTAGAAAAAAATGTACAAGCAATAGGGATAACCACACCCTGGAGAGGATTGTGAAACAAAACCCATTCCAAAATGTGGGGGAGATTCACAAAGAGCGGACTGCAGCTAAAATGAGTGCTTCAAGAACCACCACGCACAGACGTATGCAAGACAAGGGTTTCAGCTGTCGCATTCCTTGTGTCAAGCCACTCTTGAACAAGAAACAGCGTCAGAAGCGTCTCACCTGGGCTAAAAACAAAAAGGACTGGACTGCTGCTGAGTGGTCCAAAGTTATTTTCTCTGATGAAAGTGCATTTTGCATTTCCTTTGGAAATCAAGGTCACAGAGTCTGGAGGAAGAGAGGAGAGACACATAATCCACATTACTCGAGGTCCAGTGTCAAGTTTTCACAGTCAGTGATGGTTTGGGGTGCCATATCACCTGCTGGTGTTGGTCCACTGTGTTTTCTGAGGTCCAAGGTCAACGCAGCCTCTACTAGGAAGTTTTAGAGCACTTCCTGCTTCCTGCTGCTGACCAACTTTATGGAGATGCAGATTTCATTTTCCAACAGGACTTGGCACCTGCACACAGTGCCAAAGCTACCAGTACCTGGTTTAAGGACCATGGTATCCCTGTTCTTAATTCACCAGCAAACTCACCTGACATTAACCCCATAGAAAATCTATGGAGTGTTGTGAAGAGGAAGATGTGATACACCAGACCCAACAACTCAGAAGAGCTGAAGGCCACTATCAGAGCAACCTGGGCTCTCATCACACCTGAACAGTACCACAGACTGATCGACTCCACGCCACGCTGCATTGCTGCATTAATCCAGTCTACAGGAGCAACAACTAAGTATTGAGTGCTGTACATGCTCATACTTTACATGTTCATACTTTACATGTTCATACTTTACATGTTCATACTTTACATGCTCATACTTTACATGTTCATACTTTACATGTTCATACTTTACATGTTCATACTTT